TGCTCTCGCTGTGCTACCAGTGCCCCCTTGGATTCCCGGGCGGGCGGCAGACCGACCGATTTGGGGAATGCAAGCAGCTCTGTCGCACCCCTCTTCGGTGCGGTCGGCGCCGTGGGCGGCAGGCAGACGGGAAAATTGCCGCAGCGGCTTATGGGCCGTGTGTGACAGCGAGAGATGTGTGCCATTGGATTTCCTATCAGCGGCCCGAAAAGGACCCAGTATAGGTTATAGGTTCAGCATGGAGCCCAGTGCGCGATGTGGTCTTGGTGCAGGAAAGCACGTGGAGGAAATCCATTGGTACATCGACGTCTGGTGGTCCACCCCGGGGACGCAATAAACCAGAACCAAAGCGCAACGCGCGCGCTTTGCTGGAGGGGGCGGGGGGGGGGGGGGGGGAGGGGGGGGGGGGCAGGATTTGCCCGCCCCTCGGCGGCGGTTCAAGCTAGAATCCAAGCGCGCGTGGTTTTGATCTGTGGTGTAGCGTCTGTCCCGGCTGCGTGGCCCTAGCCGCGACTCGACGTGCCGGTCCTCGTATACAGCAGATGGATGTTGCGGTGGGCCGTTTTGCGTGTGTTGAGGGTTCCTTATTCCCACTGTCGCGGGATAGCAGATGGGCAGGCTCGCCCCCACAGCGGATAGGCCGGCAGAGCCAAAGTCCGAGCTTAGCCTTTCAACGGGTCCAGGAGTTAGATCGCACCCAAATTCGTGACGCAACGAACATGTCACGCCCGGGGGGGGTATTCCTCGACAGTGGAGCCCCAATCCGCTCGATCAGAGCGGGGGTGACTTCCCAAATCCCCGTCGAAGGATTTGACACCCTATCCCGAGGTATGGCCGAAAACTATCAGTGGGGTGGCATACGTCTTCACGGCCGCTGGCAAAGAAAAACGGGTAATTACATGGACCCCCCTGGTGTCAGCAGGTGGCCAGAACTTTCGGCTGTACCTCTGACTTTGAGGATATGTCTTGCGATCGGCCAACTACTAGATTATGTATTTCTTGCAGCCGCACAGTGTCCAGTATTTCGCTGATGGTCGCCCCATCCTTAAATATGGGTTTTAGGTACCCTTTAAGCTTTTAGCGCGTTTGGAAATCCGCCTCCTCCTCCTCCTCCTTCTTCTTCTCCTCCTTCTTCTTCTCCTCCTCCTCCATCTCCTCCTCCTCCTCCTCCTCCTCCTCCTCCTCCTCCTCCTCCTCCATCTCCTCCTCCTATTCCTGCTCCTGCTCCTCCTCCTCCTCCTCCTCCTCCTCCTCCTCCTCCTCCTCCTCCTACTCGTCCTCTTCCTCGTCCTCCTCCTCGTCCTCCTCCTCCTCCTCCTCCTCCTCTTCCTCCTCCTCCTCCTCCTCCTCCTCCTCCTCTTTTTCGTCCTCCTCCTCCTTTTTCTCCTCCTCCTCCGCGTCGTCCTCCTCGTCCTCCTCCTTCTCCTCCTCCGCCTCCTGCTCATCCTTTTCCTCCTCCTCATCCTCCCCTCCCCTCCTCTTTCGCTTCGCAGGATCTTTTGGCGCGCTCCACGGCGCGCTTTTCCACGGATGAGCGCCCAAAGGCGCGCAGCCACATGTGGCATTTCGGCCACGCTCGTCGGAGACAGCCTTCACCTAGCGAGTGGCGCTGGTGCTTTGCAGCGTTGTCGTTGGTCGTTCGTTTTTTTTGCCACCCGTCCGCTGTTCTTTGCACCAGCGAAAGAGCGCTCCACGGAGTGGGTGGCGCGCTCCTCCACGGCGCGACGCGCCCCACGGGGCGTTCCACGGCTCGGTTACCAGAGGGCGGCCGCCTTCTCCTGTCTCGTCTCCAGGGGGGCGCACGCTCCGCGCCAGAGGCGCCCTGGGGATCCCGAGGCGGCAGTGCCACGACGCGCGGCAAGGCCGCCGTGGGGGGCGCGGGCGCCCTGCTTGGCGTGTGCCGGCGCGGCGGGCGCTGCGCGGCGCAGCGTGGCGCGCGCCGGGCGGCGCAGGGCGCTGCGGGGCGCAGGGCGTTGCAGGGCGCAGGGCTGCACGAGGCGCCCGCGCAGGGCGCTGCGCGGCGCGCTCCGCGCTGGCCGGCGGCGGGCTGCGCGGCGGGCCAGCCGCCGCCAGCGCCCGCCGCGCGGCGGCGGAGGGCGGCCGCCGTGGCGGTGCGCCGCCGCCGTGGGGGGCGCCTGCCGCACAGCCCTGCGCGGCGGCGTGGCGCGGGCCCCCTCTTGCCCGGCAGGCGTGCGAACCCCCGCGAGGCAGCGGCGCCCTGTCGGGATCCTGTCCGCGGCATCCGGAGGTACTCTCCTCCTCCTCCTCCTCCTCCTCCTCCTCCTCCTCCTCCTCCTCTCCTCCTCCTCCTTGCTCCTCCTGTTCCTCCTCCTCCTCCTCCTCCTCCTGCTCCTCCTCCTCCTGCTCCTCCTCCTCCTGCTCCTCCTCCTCCTCTGCTTCCGGCGCGGCGTTGGTGGGGGAATCGGTATCGCGCAAGCGTGGGTGCGTATGGGATGTGTGCGTCTGCGCCCCCAGCGGCGCGAGGCGCGCGCGCGCGCGGAGGGATTCTGTAGTATGGGTTCGGTGGCGGGCGCTCTCTGACCGAGGAGGAGGAGGAGGTTCAGGAGGAGGAGGAGGAGGAGGAGGAGGAGGAGGAGGAAGAGGAGGAGGAGGAGGAGGAGGAGGGGAGGAGGAGGAGGGGAGGAGCAGGTTCAGGAGGAGGAGGAGGAGGAGGAGGATGAGGAGGAAGACGAGGAGGAGGAGGAGGAGGAGGAGGGGGAGGAGGAGGAGGAGGAAGGATATTCTACACGATGCTGTGCCATAGTGTTCGGGTCGGGCGTGCGTCTCCAGTCTCCACAAGAGGCGGTAGGCTCAGGGGCGGCGTTGGAGGGGGATAGGCTCGAGGTTCGAGGCCCTTGGGCGTTCTCGTAGGCTCGGGGTGCTCCAGTCTCGAGACGCTCTCCAGCAGCTGCCTCGTCGAGCGCTTTCTCTGTGCTTCCGAATCTTCCCGAACGGTTGCCGGGGAGTCGAGTTTTGATACGCAAGCCAGGGGGCAACGTAAGGGGGAGATAGGCTGAGAGGGGATTGCTTCGACCCCCAATCGCCCATCTCACTGCCGAGAAGTGCCCGGTTGCCCACCTCGCCCAGGAACGTGCTGATCCGCTATCGGGTTGTCGTCCAGCTATCGGCGATGTGTCGCCGATTTCCGCTCGACGTCTTCCCCTGAGCTACTCCCCCCCCCAGCGTCGCGCTAGAGGGCAGTGCCCTTCTCCATGGGGGGGAGGCGGCGCGAGGGCGTGAGGGCGCGGCGATATCCGCCCGCGCACCGCGGGGCGCCGTGCGCGAAGTCTGGTGACCTCGGCGTCGGGGGCGCCCTCCTCCTCCTCCTGCTCCTCCACTCCTCCTCCTCCTCCTCCTCCTCCTCCTCCTCCTCCTCCTCCTCCTCCTCCTCCTCCTCCTCCTCCTCCTCCGCGTCCTGAGGTGTCTGCTTTGCCAAAAAATCACGACGGGAGGTTTTTCGCTGTGTTCGGCCTCCGGGGGCCCTCGCCCCCCGCGCGCTGGCCGCAGTCCCGCTGCGTGAGAGTGCCCCCGCGCCCGACGTCCCCCCCTCCGCGGCCGCCTCCTCCGCCTTTCCACGTAAAGATGGAAGCAGCAGGGTGCCTTTGCCCTAGCTGCTGCTCGAAGCAGCGCGCGGCGCTGTCGACACCTTGAGGAGCCACCGGGCCGCAGGAGGCCCGGGCGCCAAGCGCGACATGGGCCGGCGGACCACGGGACCGGACCGGAGCGAAGCAGACTTTCCCCCTCCCTCTTGCATGTGCACGGCTTCCCCCGGGGCCGTAGGCGACCCGAGGAGGAGGGGGAGGAGGAGGAGGAGGGGGAGGAGGAGGAGGAGGAGGAGGAGGAGGAGGAGGAGAGAGGAGGAGGAGGAGGAGGGAGGAGGAGGGAGGAGGAGGAGGAGGAGGGGGAGGAGGAGGAGGTGGAGGAGGAGGAGGGAGAGGAGGAGGAGGAGGAGGAGGAGGAGGAGGAGGGGGAGGAGGAGGAGAGTTAGGGGGGGAGGAGGGGGAGGAGAGGAGGAGGGGAGGAGGAGGAGGAGGAGGAGGAGGAGGAGGAGGAGGGGAGGAGGAGGAGGAGAGAGGAGGAGGAGGAGGAGGAGGAGGAGGAGGAGGAGGGGAGGAGGGGGAGGGGGGGAGGGGGGAGGGGGAGGAGGGAGGAGGAGGTGGGAGGAGGAGGGGGAGGAGGAGGAGGAGGAGGAGGAGGAGGAGGAGGAGGAGGAGGAGGAGGAGGGGTCGCTCCAGCACTGGCTGGCGCGCTCGATCTGCGCGGCACCCACGAGGCACCCACGAGGCCGTGCGCCAGAGGTCGCTTCTGCCCAGGGTCACTCCTTGCGCGCAGTCGAGCGACCAGAAAACCCTCGCTCGTTCCCTGTTCGGCACTCCTCGTTCGGCGGCGAGCGAGGGGGGGAAGTGAGAAGGAGGAGGCCTTCTCGGAAGGCGGCGGGGCTCCTCAGAAGCCCTCCGGCCTTCTGAGAAGTTCTCTGTGCCTTCGGGGACGGAGTAGACAACTTCTCAGCAGGCCGGGGGCCTTCCGAGCCTTCTGAGGAGGCCCGCCCCTTCGCCGACGACGCCTGGTGCTTCTGTCGGTCATATAGCTCGGCTCCCCGGTGGCCGTGCGGGCCGATCTGGGCACCCCCAGCACGCTCTCGGCGAGGCGCCGCGGCTGGAGCGCACCCCGAGGCTGGAGCCGTCGACGACGACGCCCGAAAACCCGAAACTCTTGACCAGCCACGAAAACCCGAAAACCCGCCGGGAACCTCGAAGGTTGGAACCTCACGAAGGAGGCTAGAATCTTGAGAACCTTGGACCTCATCAGCACGAAAACCTGAAAACCCGAAACTCTTGACTACGAAACCCGAAAACCTGCCGGGAACCTCGAACCCGAAACTCTTGTTGAGACTTCCCCCCCTCGCTCGCCGCCGACAAAACGCTGGACTCGTGGCGGGCGCGTGGCGGACCTTGCCCTGCGACCTTCGCGCGCCGGCGGCCGTCCCGCCCTCTTCGCAGGAGGGCCTACGAGACCCACCGGGCGGTGGACCGGGCGCGCGCGTCGACGGCACGCCCGCTGGCGGGCGGCTCCGTCGCGGACCCCGCGGGGGCCGGGCTCGTCGCCGCCGCCTTCGCTGTCGTCGCCGCCGTCGTCGTCGCGGCCCCCGTGGCCGTCGCCGCCGTCGCCGTGGCCGTCGCCGTCGTCGCCGTCGTCGCCGCCGCCGCCGCCTTCGTCGCCGCCGCCGCCGCCGTCGTCGTCGTCGTCGTCGTCGTCGTCGTCGTCGTCGTCGTCGTCGTCGTCGTCGTCGTCGTCGCTGTCATCGTGGCCGTCGTCGTCGCCGTCGCCGTCGTCGTCGTGGTCGTGGTTGTCGTCGTCGTCGTCGTCGTCGTCGTCGTGCTCGCGGGCCGCATTTCCGTCAGCGGTGGCCCTCATGTGAACGGGCACGTTGGGCCTCCTCAAGTTTACCCAGCACGTTTCTTCCGCATGTTCCGGGCGTGATTCTTGCCGTGTGCGTTTGCAGCGTCTGGTTGGCGTCCGTGTCTTGGCCAGTCCTTCTACCACTTCCTTTCTTCGCCGCGCCGCTGTGCAGTTGATGATTGTCTTTTGCTTGCTTGCTTCAAAACTGCTGTCCTCGGGGGCCAACTGCACGTTAGGCGCGGCAGCGAGGTATCTGCCGCGAGAGAAAGATGACAAGGACCACGGTTGTGGCCATGATGATCCTGAGGGGTAGTGGCTGGTGGGCTTGTGAATGGGTGGATGAAGAAGAGTAGGACGAGGAGGATGAAGAAGAGAAGGAGAACGGGGCGAGAGGCGTAGGAGGGGGACGGTGACGGTGGCCTCTTCCAAGTACTCCGAAGATCAGCATAGGGTCACGCATGCGCCAGAGGCACTGCCCACTGCAACCCCGTCCGCCCCGGTCATAAAGAAAAGCGGCGGGCTTGGAACTGATCATGTCCACTATGAGGATCAGGTCCGACCTCCTCATTCTCCTCCTCCCGCCCCCTCTTCCTCCTCTTCCTCCCTTTCCCCCTTCATCTCCACCCTCCTCCTCCTCCTCCTCCTCCTCCTCCGCCTCCTCCTCCTCCTATTCCTTCTCCTCTCCGCCCCCCCTACTCCTCGCCCCTCCTCCTCCATCCAGTTGTTCCACATATATGTAGGCGTGTTAGCCAGCGTGGATCCCAAACAGTGTGTTTCTAGCTATCTGTGTTGTTCAGTTTATGTTGTACAGTTTATGTTGTGCATTCTACGTGGTGCGATGTGCAATATGCTGTGTGCAATCAATAGAATGTGTGCAATCTATGGTATGCAGTATCTATGTTGTGGAATAAGTTTGTGCAATCCATGTTGTGCAATCTATGCTGTGCCATCTATGTGGTGCAATCGAAGTAGTGCAATTTATGTAGGTATCTGTATATATATATATATATAGATGGCATCTTCCATGCTGTGCAATCCATGTGAAGCAGTACATGCGATGCACTATATCGATGGTGCAACATATGTGGTACAAGAATGGTTTTGCGAAGCAATGCAATGCAATGCGTAGCAATGTGTAGCAACGCATAGCGACGCAACTCACTGCAGTACAAAACAACACGATGCAATGCCAATCAGTCCAAGCAAAGCAAAGCAATGCGCGGGAAAATAACAAACCAATGCAAGCACTGCAATGCATATCACGGGGTAGCAACGCACGGGCGGCGACGAGGCGTCGATGGGGCGGCGACGGCGGCCACATAGCCGCCAAACCGAAGACACGGCCCAGACGACCGGCTGCGACGAGGCGGCGACGGGGCGGCGACGGCGGCCACGTAGCCGCCAGACCGAAGACACAGCGCAGACGACTGGCGGCGACGAGGCATCGGGGCGGCGACGGCGGCCACATAGCCGCCAGACCGAAGTCACGGCCCAGTTGTTTAGATCGGGGGTAAGAGAACCTAAGTGCAAGCAGTGTTTTGGGAATCTATACAACTGCACTGCTCGTCTGGCCACCAGGCATGTCGGTAAGGCAGGTTGGGCTTTTCGCTTGAGACGTCTTCTCCGTTCCGTTGATGACCTCGACGCTTGAAATCTCCAACAGTTGTAGGGATGGATGGAGAGAGTTTTCAAATGTGGCTCTCGTCCTAACGCCGCGCGCAATCGTTTAAACAAAATTCAGCTTTCATACGGATGGAGGGGGCGGTTTCAAGATGTTGTTTTCGCCCTAGCGCCGCGCGCACTCGTCGTAAACATTCCCAGCAGCTACACGGATGGAGGGCGGCTCCTTTCCAACAGGTGCCTCTGGCCTCAGTGCCGTTCGCATTCGTCCATCAGAAGCTTCAACCAGTTAAACGGATGGAGGGCGGATACCTTTCCACATGTGGCTCTCGCCCCAGCGCCGCGCATATTCCTCTTAAGCGCTTGCCAGAAGTTCACGGATGAAGGGCGAGTCATTCTCAAATGTGGCTCTCGACTTAGGGCCTCGTAACATAGTTTCAAAAGTTTCCATTCTTTCCAACACATATTTATCGTTGGATACTTCCTTGTTCCTGGTGGCGCGGTATTTAAACATTGGGAAACAGCTACATGGACGGAGGCCGGCTCCTTTCCAAATAGGGGCTCTCGCTTGATCCGTCCTCAGGTCTCATGACCAGACGCTTCAATTTGAAGGACATGTGAACGGATAGAGGGCGGCTCTTATTCAAATCGGGGCTATCCTTGGACGCATTCTTTGACGCCATGATCCTACCTCGCCGCCGTCCTCATAGCTAAGCATGAAAGACAGCTCCGTTCAAAACGGGGTTTTCGCTTGAATTGCAGGACTATGGGATGCTCGTCTTCCAAGTGGACACAGTGAAAAACGAATTCTTGCAGGGACTTATGAAGGGGGGGGACTTGGGGACGGGTGGGCGTCGGGAAGCATGGTTGATGCTTCTTGGACTTCATCGGGTCCCTCTCCTCCTCCTCTTCCTCCTCATCCTCCTCCTCCTTCTCCTCCTCCTCCCCCCCCTCATCCTCATCCTCCTCCTGCTCTTCCTCCCCATCGACGACACAACGGGGGGGGAGGGAACCCGCCTCACCCCTCGTCGTCCTCCTCCCCCTTTTTCTTGTCGTCCTCCCTCTCCTCCTCCTCCTCCTCCTGCTCATCTCTCCTCCTACTCCTTCTCCTCCTCCGCTTCGTCCTCCTCCTCCTCGCCTTCCTCAGCGTCCCTCGTCCTTATCCTCGTCGTCCTCCTCCTCCTCCTCTTTCTCCTCGTCGTCCTTCTCCTTCTACTTCTCCTCCTCCTTGTCTTCCTCCTCCGCCTTCTCCTTCTTGCGATGCGGATTGCGAAGAACGACCTGGAGAACATGCAGAGCGTCATGGAGGCATCCGAGAGGGAGCTGCAGACCATCGAGAAGCTCGAGAGGAAGGAAGTCGAGAGGCTCCAGCGTCGTCAGGAACTGCGCGAGAGCACGGGCACCCTGCTCGACGGCACCGGTATTCTCGAGAAATGCGCCGTTTTAGGTGGAGCGGCTAGTTTCAGCGGCCGCGCGTGAGAGCGCCCGTTCGCGCGTGCTGCTGCACTCGCGATGGGCATCTCGCAGTGCAGGCCGTGGGGGCCTGCACCGACGTAAGCGTCTTTTTCTGGAGCACCGACAGGAGGTGCAATAATACAGGAGACAGTACACATTCCGATGGGCACAACACCGCTGGGACGACGAGTGGATAACGAGGGTTCCACAGAGACCACTAGAGCGCTCCCCTTAAGGGCCCCTCCTCCCGTGGAAAGACAGTGGGACATGACCAGCATCGCAGATGTGGAGGCCCTCGCGCGCCGTGACACTAGTGGTCTTGCTCGCCCGTACATGCGCGCCGACTGGATGGGGGTATTTGAAAGGTGCAAGTTGATTACTGCAGATTTTTTGATGCGTTGTATTGCAGCACGGGGTCTGTGTCGGACACTACGTTGCATGGTTCGGCCATCGACCGGCGCGTCCAGGAAGCGAAGTGAGTCGAGAGATGGATGGGGCTCTTTTCCAAGCGTGGGCCCAGCAGGACTTTGGTAGACAATTCTAGACGCTGCGCGTGTCCCCGCCGGCCCATCCACAATCGATGCGTAGGGGGGCTGACGGAAGAAGGGCAACAGAGACGCTCATAGTGGAACCGAGCGGGCAAGAACGGTGAACTGGGAGATCTTTTGTGGCGAAGGTTGCATGTGTTGCTGCTGGTGCTCTTGCTCCCGCTGGCACTGCTTCTGCTGCTGTTGCTGCTGGTGTTGCTGGCTCTCGACCAGCGAATGCCCAGGCGAATGGAGGTGATCAGGGAAGTGAAGGAGCACGCAGAGTAACCGAGGGCTGGGGACACCAAAGACGGGTTTCCACTCCCAGCTCGGGGAGGCATCGTGGACCCCTTGCTGGAAGTGTCTCCCGGTCGTGCTAGTGTCGCTTCTCCTCCCAACGCGTCGTCGACGACGACGACGGCGGCGGCGGCGATGATAGCGGCGGCAGCGGCGGCGACGATGGCGGCGGCGGCGACAGCGGCGGCGAGGAGGAGGAGGAGGAGGACGAGCAAAAATGCCAGAGGTCTCCTGAATGCCTTTCGGAGCCTCTTGGGATATCTCTTGGGCGCTTCTTGGAGGCATCTTGAGACGTCTGGGGGGTCTCTTGGCGGTCCTGGGGGGCCTTTGGGCGTCTTGAGTGCGTCGGGGGGGGGCCTCTTGGAGGCCTCTTGAGGCCACCTTAGCGCCTCTTGGGGCCTCCTGGGCGTCTCTTGGGGCCATCTTGGAGGCGATCGATCAAAGAAGGGGGGTTCCTTTCCTTGCCTTCTGTGACCCCGCATCATATGCCCTTCGTGGCCCCCGCTCGTTCGAGCTCTTCGTGGCCCCATGCGCATTCCCTTCGTGTCCCCGCTGTCGCCCTTCGTGGCCTACTTCGTGCCCTCGTTCCCTTCGTGGCCCTGCTGTCGTTCTTTCTCTCGCTCTCGCTTTTCGCTCGTCGTCGTCGTCGTCGTCGTCGTGGTCGGTCCCCTGTCCGTCCCTCTTGGGGTCGGGCTGCCGCCGATCAGCGCTGCCGCTGGCCAGGCCGACGGTCCGCGGCCGCCCCGCCGCTTGCCGGGGCCCGGCTTGCAGGGAAGAAAGTATACCCCCCGGGTACGATCGAAGACGAAGCGGGCGGGTATCGAGGGTTTGGGAAATACGCGTTCGCGGACACTCGAGCAGATAAGAGCGAACAGTCTTAACATTATTAATCGCTTCGCTCATTCCGCCGGCCCATATTGTCGCACCGTTGTGGGCTAGCCGAGTTTTGGGGCCTCTTGGGGGCCGTTTTGGGGCCTCTTGGGGCCTCTTTTGGGCCTCTTGGGCGCCTCTTGGGGCGTCTTGGGGGCCTCTTGGGGGCCTCTTGGGGCCTTTTTGGGGCCTCCTGGGCGCCTTCTGGGGCGGAGGGCTCGATTTTTCAGTTCTCGGTTCCCCTCTTGAGCCCCTCTTGGGCCCGTCTTGGGGCCTCTTGGTCCGTCTTGGGCGGCACTTGGGCCGTCTTGGGGGCCCTCCTGGGCCGTTCCGGGGCCGTCTTGGGAGCCTCGTGGGCCGTCTTGGAGCGGTCTTGGGGGCCTCTTGGGCCGTCTTGGAGCGTCCGGAAGCCGAAAAAGCCAGAACGCAAAAAACATAGAAAAAACAATGAAAATCAACGATTTTGGCCTCTTGGGGCCCTCTTCGGAGGCCTCTTGGAAGGCCCTTGGGGCGTCTTGGAGGCCTCTTGGGCTGTCTTGGGGCCCTGTTGGGCGTCTTCGGGCGATCTTTGGCCGTCTCGGGGCCCTTGGACCGTCTTGGAGGCTTCTTGGGGACCTCTTGGCCCGTCCTGGGGCCCTGTAACAGGGCTCCGGGATCTCTGGCCCGACCTTGCCGGGACCTTGCCGGGACCTTGCCGGGGTACTTTTCGTCCGGGGACCTCCAGGGGCCGCCCCGCGCGCGCGAACTAGAAATACTGTTAACCAGGTACCGGAGATCTTAGCACGCCCTGGCCCGTTGGGCCGGCGAATTGTTGTTGTTGCTGCTGCTGCTGCTGCTGTTGTTGTTGAACATTATTCCTTCTAAAGAATTATTATTGTTGGGACCCCTGGTGCGCGACCTCTGCGCCGCGCCTAGGCCGCAGCTACATTTTCATCATTTTTTCGCGAAAGCTTCAGAAAAGTGGATGAGCTCCGGATCCGGTTTTTTGTTGACGCTCGTTTTCCCTTGCAAAAAACAATAGAAAATGAAAATTCTTGTTTTTACTTGATCAAATTGCAAGAATCCCTTGCAAAAAATAAGGTAAAGTGGACATTCGTGCGCGCAAGACGAAATCCTTCCAAAACCTTAGGTTTCGTAACGATTTTAACATAAAAACATCAAAAACCCAATGGTTTTCTCAGAAAAAATTGTCAAAATGTCCTTCCGCGCGCTCTTGCGGATTCCTAGGAAACCCACCAGATTTTAAACATTTCTGTTAAAAGGGCCTTTGCGAGGAACCTTTTCAGGTGCTTCGACCTTCTGCAACAACGGTTGCGAGCCTACGAGGGCCACCATCCCTTGCAAAAAATGACATGAAGTGCACATGCGCGCGGCCGCCGCGCGCGCGTGCCGAAATCCTGCCAAACATAATGTGATTTCAATAATTTCAAGATGCGATGTTCCGAAAACATATGCAAACGCAAGACTTTCTCATCCGAAAAATATCAAAATCCACCCGCGGGCTCTTCATGAATCTTTAAAACCCAAGATGGCCCCAAGAGGCGCTCAAGATGGCCCCAAGAGGCGCCCATGAGGCGAATCTCTTTCTATCTCTCTCTCCACTGGCTCTCTGTCTTGCTCTCTCTCTCTCTCTCTCTCTGTCTCTCTGTACTATGTATGTCATACGCAACAAATGCACCATGCGGGGCACATGCGGGGCCCAAACAAGTGATCAACCTCTGCGGGTGTGTACTCCACGCCAGTGTAGTATCCACGATCGTCCGCGCGCCACGAAGTGAAGTGTCCTGACGTCATAGGGCGGGAAGCTGGGTGTGGGTGGTTCCCGAGAGTCGTGTGGATGTTTGGTAGAGCTTGCATTGCCCCCCCACGAAGTGGGGGTATTGGCTGGCGTCGCATGAAAATCCTGGCACTGGGGAGAACACTGAGCGTTCGGGTAAAATGATTGTTGTTGTTGTTATTGTTGTTGTTGTTGTTGTTGTTGTTGTTGTTGTTGTTGTTGTTGTTGTTGTTGTTGATGTGTTGTTGTTGTTGTTGTTGTTGTTGTTGTTGTTGTTGATGCTGTTGTTATTTGTGTATGGTTGTGTGTGTGTGTGCACGAAGCCTGGCCCCCTCACCGCCCACCAAGCCACCCCAACCCATCCCGAAGGCCCTGGTGTGCCCTCCGTTCCCCGTGGGAGGGGATCGGGGAACGCGGAAACACACACACGAAGCCCGTAGCCCCCCCCCCTCTTGGGAGCGGGCTGCGCGGGTCGGCGCGGGCTGCGCGGGTCGGTCGAGAGGAGGAGGAGGAGGAGGAGGAGGAGGAGGAGGAGGAGGAGGAGGAGGAGGAGGGAGGAGGAGGAGGTGGAGGAGGAGGAGGAGGAGGAGGATGAGGCGGAGGAGGAGGAGGAGGAGGAGGAGGAGGCGGAGGCGGAGGGGGAGGAGGAGGAGGAGGAGGAGGAGGAGGAGGAGGAGGAGGAGAAGGAGGAGGAGGAGGGTCGGTCGAGCCTCGACCTCGATCGAGGAGGGTCGAGCTCGGGCGGCGTGCGGGTCTTCGGGTCGGGCCGGGGTGGCCTGGCAGCCGGCCGTCCCCAGGACCTCGGGCGGGCCGCGGACGAGGCGCCGGAGGAGGCGGGCCTGCCGCGGCCGCCGCCGCCCCCGCCGGCCACCGCCCTGGGCACTCGGAGCACCTCGTCGGGGCAGCCGGCCTCGGTGTTCGAGCCCGCCGGGCCGTCGTGATCCCTCCTCGTCGTCATACAGTCAGTCGTAGCGCACAGTCAGGACCCCGAGCACTTGGAGCAGATCGTCGTGTCAACCGGCCTCGGTGTTCGAGCCCGCCCAGCCGTCGTGGATCCTCCTCGTCGTCATGCAGTCAAAGCGCACAGTGAGGACGCACGGTGGTCCCCTTGGAGCACCCGCCGACTATCGCCCCGAGCGCTTGGAGCAGCTCGTCGTGGCAACCGGCCTCGGTGTTCGAACCCGCCCGGCCGTCTTGATCCTCCTTGTCGTCATACAGTCAATCGGTGGCGGCAAAGAGGGGGGTGATGACTAGGGGGGGGTGGATATCATGGCGGGGGCCACGAGATTTCCCCAGATTTCATGGCGCCTCTTCTTATTTCATTACGTCCCTGGCCCCCCCGCTGGGCCGCGCACGTGCCGCCGGTCATGATTTGCACCCCCCCTTCTTGGACACCCCCCTTTTGGCCGCTCCCGAGTCAAAGCGCACAGTCAGGCCGCACGGTGGTCCTCTTAGAGCACCCTGGCGTTCTCGCCTCTGCGGCCCGTCCTCTGCGGTGTGCAGCGGCCAGCCCTTCAGGGGGTTGACCGCCCGCCGCCCCAAAGGTGCCAACTTCGGCGTCCAAGGCCCCTGCGACCTTACCGCCCGTCCTTGCCATAGATCTCGACTGTACCCCTGGTGTATGTTGTTCCCCCTGCTCCCTGGGTCCTTGGAGTTGAGGGAATGTCCGGCGCGAAACTGCCGCCTGGGGATCATATAAGGAAGGCCTCCTGGGGCCCTGCCTCCGCCGCCTGTGGGCCTCTCTCGGAGCCTTTTTGAGCCATCTTAGGCCCCTCGTGGGGACCAAGATGCAAGCTTGCGAGGACGCTTCCCTCGAAGTCTCGGTTTTGAGAGGACGTCTTACGCAAAACAGCAGCTTCCCGAGCTTACTCTGGGCAGAACGCGAAGCGATGCTGTTTGACTCCCTTGCTGCTGATGCTGCGGGCTGCCGCCGTTCGTGGCTGCTTGATGCTGTTGGGCGTTGCTTGCTGTTGCTCGGTGCTGCGCGCCTGTGCTTGCTGCTGCGTGCTGCTGGCTCGCGCTTCCATTCCCACGCCCATTCTCCTTTTCCGCCTCCCCATCGCTCTTTTCATAGCTCCGCCTCCTTACCGCTCCTCCGCGCTGCTCCGCTTTGCTCCTCGCCCCTCGCCCTCCTTGGGGCTCCTCTTCTGCGTCTGCCTTCCTCTTCCTCCTCGTCGCTTCTCCCTGTCCCTCTCCTCCTCCTCCTCCTCCTCCTCCTCCTCCTCCTCCTCCTCCTCCTCCTCCTCCTCCTCGCTCCGCCCGCGGGCGCTGCTGGGCTGCCGCCTACGGCAGCTGCCGCCGAGGACGGACCCGGCCCAAGGTATCGACATGGTGTCGGGTCGGCCCATTGCCTTGCCTCCCCCCCTTGCCGAGAGATCTCCTCGCTCCACCTCCTTCCATCAAACGGCGAGTCCTCGAAAACCCACCCCCACCCCCAGTCCCGACGCCCATCCCCGAGCCGGCGATTCAAGGGGTCGGGACTGGGGGTGGGGGTGGGTTTTCTCCGTTCCTGGACCCCGAAAACCCACCCCCACCCCCAGTCCCGACTCCTTGAATCGCAGGTTCGCGGATGGCGTCGGGACTGGGGGTGGGGGTGGGCTTTCGCCCTCTCATTCCTCTCCTCCTCCTCGCTCCTCCAGCGGCAGCTTTTGGGGCACAGGCTGCGCGTGCCGCCTGCCGTGGGGCCCGCCCGCCCGGCCGCTCTGACCCGATGGTCGTGCCAGCCCGCCAGGGCAGCTGAGCCCCGCCTGGCCGGTTCGGCCCGTCCGGCTGTCTACGTGGGTTTTGTGCTGGCTCTCTTGGGGTCCTCGCGTCGACTGCACGTGAGAGTTGCCCTTCGCGGGAGTGACCTCTGGTCTGCGCGAGCAGAGTGGGTACGGAAAGAATGGGTACAATGCCCAACGGCAGGTCCTGTTCATGTTGACCAGGACTCGCTGTCCGTGCCGCCGTGGCCTGTGTCCATTTGAGACAGAAGGCCGCCTGCCCAACAGCGGCCGTTGTTGGTTTGGGACAACATTTGTTGTTGGGCATTGTACTCATTTTTGTCCGTACCCATTCCGGGCGTCCAAATTTGGTGCGGGCACATTGGAGCCCCCTGATCGCCGAACGCGATGCGATAGTGTCGTCTTGCGCGCCAGTGTTTGGTCGCCCCGCGGTCCCCCAATAGGCCGCGCACCAAAGGTCATTCTTACCCAGGGTCACTTTCGCGTGTAGCCGACTCTCGGGCCACAGTAGGCTCTTACTGGATCACATATGCGCTTGCGGCAACAGCTCGTTCAAACTCTACGTTGTGGTAGGATGTCTCATGCAACGCTGCAGTTCTCGAAACTCTGTCGAGGCGTCTTGGGCCATATTGGAAACATCTTGGGGCAGCGCGTTGGTTCTCATGGGGCCCTCTTCGGGCCCAGTCGAATTATGTGATGTTGATTGGTACCAGAAGCCAGTTTTTGGGAAACAACTCCCTTCAACTTCGATATTAAAATGATATCCCAGGCGAACTGGTCATATCAGCTCTCTTGAAGTTCTCTTGGGGCCCTCTCGAGCTATTGTAGCTTCTTCGTTTCCAAGAGGCGAAATTTCAGAAACAACACCTTCGAAGTCTCCAATTGGGGAGGATGTCTCACGCACCACTAACGTTTCAAGCCATACTGGATGCCTCCTTGGACGTTGTTTGCGCTCTGTTGTGGCTTCCCTGGGGCCCTTTTAAGCCATCTTTCACCTCTTTTGGAGTCCAAGGGGTAACTCCTGATAAACAGCATCCTGTGAGTCTCCACCTCGAGGATGTCTAATTCGAAACTAACGTTTTGGACCATATTGGAGGCCTTCTGGGGCCCTGTCTGCGTCATATTGGGCCTCTGTTGGAGCCCTCGTACGCCATCTTAGACCCCTCTGGGAGCCCAACACGCAGGCATACTACGACGCTTCCTTCGACACATTCAATTTGAGCTGATGTCTCACGCGAAGCGGTTAATTCCAAAACCCATGCGTGGCACAACGGGCAGCCCTGCTGCTTGACTCCCTTGGCGCTGATGCTGCCAATTGCCGTTGTTCGTGGCGGTTGGATGCTGTTCGGCGCTGCTTGCTGCTGCTTGGTGCTGCGCGCTGTTGCCTGCTTTTCATTCCCGCATTCCTTCTGATTTTTCCAGGTCTTCAGCGTCCACTCCTTTTTTCTCCATCCCTGTATCCTCACTGCGCTTCCTCGTCCCCTCGTCCTCCTCCGCGTTCCGCTTCCGCGCTTCTCTTCCTCTCCCTCCTCGTTTCTTATCCTCGCTCTGCTTCCTTCTCGTCGTCCCTCCTTCTTTTTCTTCCCCCTCGGCCCTTGACTGTACGCTCGGTCTCCTCGTCGCTTCTCCAGGAAGCTTTGGGGACACATAGGCAACCCGCCCGGCCGTTCCAGTTCGATGGTCGTGTCAACCCGCATGGACGTTGCAACCCGCCTGGCCGTTTTTCGCCCGCCTGACCGTCCCAAACCGGCCCTGCGTTGGTTCTAACGGAGCCCCCTTGGGTCACCTTGGGCACATCTTGGGGGGCGGCGTTGATATCCGTGGCCAGGCTTGAGTTGGAGTTCCACGGCTGCCAGACCCTGGATTCTGTATCCAATGGTTCTGTCTCTAATGCCAATCACCGCATGCATGCTTAAGACATCAATTCTTTTGAAGTCACCGTCGTGGGGGGATGCCTCGCGCAACGCTGCCATTGCCGGGGCCCCGTCGAGGCGTCCCTGGCCATTTTGGAAGCATCCTGGGGCCCTCTTCTGGCTCTCATGGGGCTCTCCTGAAGCCCTGCTGAAACGCATCATGGCTTAATGCCGCCCTCGTACTTAGGGCCTCCAAGAAGGGCCTCACACTTGGGCACTCTTTGGAGACCATGAGGAGCTTTGGGGCATTGAGAAGCAGCCTTTTCAAAGTTTCAATTTTGGTAGGAAGTCTCACGCGAAACGGCTGTTTGGGGCCATGCTGGGGTCCTCCTGGGGCCCTGTTCGTGCTTTCGTGGGCCCCTCTTGGAGACCTCTCGGGCATTTGTAGACCCTCCCTGCAGCCCAAGCGGCAAGCTTTGACAAACAAATCCTTCGAAATATTGGGAGGATTTCTAGTGCGAAGCTGCCGTTTTGGAGCCTTTTCTGAGGCCTCCTGGGGCCCTGCTGGGGCTCTCTTGGGGCCTTCTTGGAGCCCTCTTGAGCCATCTCAGACAACTTTTGGATCCCAGCAGGCAAGCTCACGAAAACGCCTCCTTCGAAGTTCCGATGCTGTGGGGTTCTCGCAGGCCTACACCCCGGGGGGGGGGGGGGGGGGCCGGGGTGTTCGGCGATGGCGAGCGCTTCTCCCCCTCAAGCTCAGCCTTTTTTATTCCGAGTCCGCACGAGAATCGCTTCGCGCATGTGGGCATGCGCTCAGAGCGTGCTGCTTCGGCAACAAGGCGCGCTTCTCCGTCACCCAGGGTCCGCCTCTTCCTCTTAGGCCCTCACGAGGGTCGCTCCGCTCTTCCAGTCGCAGGGCGTCCGTTCGGCTACCTGGAGCGCTTCTCACCCTCAAGCAGTCTCTCTTTATTCGGGGTCCAGGCGAACATCGCTTCGCGCTTCCCGTCGTACACTCAAGGTTCTTGGTCCGGCGATGGCGAGCGTGGTTCCCTCTCATACTCCCGTCCTTTACTGGGGATCCTGGATGGAATCGCTTCGCGCTTCCCGTCTTCCATTGGAATGACCATTTGGATTCATTGAAGTACCGATGGGGACCTGTTGGAGTATCAGTAGGAAACCAGTTTAATACCAACAGGAATCCATTGGAACATCCATCGTGCCATAGGGTTCCATGGGAAGATCCATTGGACTCCATCG